GCCATCATGCTCACTGCAGGGTGCGGTTAGCCAAGCGTCGCTACGGGGATGGCCGTCGCTACGGGGACGGGCGTCGCTACGGTGACGGGCGTCGCTACGGGGATGGCCGTCGCTACGGGGACGGGCGTCGCTACGGTGACGGGCGTCGCTACGGTGACGGGTGGTGATGGAGGCACCAGCGCGAGGGCGGTGTCCGCCATCGCCGCGTGACGATGTCAAGCGCGACAATTCAGGCGGTGACAACAATAACAATCGTTAAAATAAACTATTCTGAGAAAGAAAGAAATAGTTGAGGCGCTGCTGAGTCGGTTTTCGCGGCCCTCCGACGGGTTCTCAGTGGTTCCGCCGCGAGTTCAGCACGATGTCCAACGTTTCGCGCCGCGTTCTGGGAGATTCAGTCCACTTCCTGATGAAGCTCCCAGCTGTTGTTTTGGGTGTGTGGAGCCACGGGTCGCTGGAGGACCTCGTATGTCTGGGCTCCCTTTGTGTTGTAAATTACGACAATGGATCTGAGTACTTGGTCTGTGAACACGACTCGCCAGGTCAAATTGTGTCGAGGCGCTCCCAGCACATGAAGGCGGAACGTTGGACGTCGTGCCGAACAACACGTCAGAGTTAAAACAACGTCTTCACACTTTCAGTGCACACAGTACCATGAAGCATGCCAGCCACACACATACACCACCCACACACCACTACAACACACCTCCAACACACGGACCACTACCACACACATACGCACACCACCCACACACCACTACCACACACCACTACCATACGCACACACTTTCATTCAAACGGAGCGCTGTGTTCGTGTGATCTACGAGAGAAATTCCTCAGCGAACTACGACCGCTGCTGGGGGAGGGAGTTCTTGGCCTAAATTTGGTGGTGGTGGTGGCTTTTTGTGGTCGAAAATGCTGAGGCCGACAAATCTCTGGAATTCGCCGACATCTGGAAGACATTTTTACCTGGGTGCGCGTGGGGGAGGGGTCGGCATTGCGGGGGCTTTTCCTGAACCTCCCCCCCCCCCAGCTCTCTCGCTCCCCCCACCACCACCACCCACACACCCACGGGGCCCCCACAGCTGAGCACCCCCCCTTCAGATATCCCCACCACCCCCCCTCAGCTTCTCCCCTCCTAACCATCACCTCCCTCCCACGCCTCTCTCAACGTCGACCATGGAAGGGCCACAGCCCCATGCACGCCGAGAGGTATCCTGGGCGTGGTGTGCCGGGCCAGCCGGCCCCGACGAGCCTCGCGTGCGGAGCTCGAGGCCACGAGGAGCCGGCGAGGAGAGAGACGGCGCGGACCAAGTGGGGAGCACCACCACGGCGACACAGACAAAGATCCCCCGTGCAACCTTCACGGGCAGTAGGGGCAAGTGCTGTTTGCCAGCACCTACGAAGGCCGACACGGCTTGGGGTGGTCAGCACCACTCCCGGCCACCTTTGTCTCCCCAGTGGCGATGTTTACACACCGCACCGGGTACAGCACTGTACTTGTTTAAACGTTGATCTAGGAAAGGCATCGGCGTTCGCCACTGCGCCACCGCTCCTCGAGCCGTGACGCACGCGGATACCCGCAGAGGCGCAGGGGCCGGGTTGGACCCCGGGCCGGGCCCATGGACTTGGCTGGCAACCCTCGAGAGAAGCCGTTGGGCACGTGAGCGCGTGTGTCGATTGCTATCCTACGAACACCGACTGATCTGTCGACCCGGTGTTGTAGGCATACAGTACAACACGCTGAGGGGAGACGCTCCCCGCAGTGGCCGACAGCTCAGGCGGCCCCTTGGGACGGAGCCGCGGGCAGCGCCGGGGGGCCGGGGGGCCGGGGGGCCCTGAGTAGCGACCAGAGGAGGGGGGGGGGCCGATGATCTTTGCTACAGAAGAGCGCTTTGCAGAGTTCAGCAGGAGGGAGTTGGGCATCATCATCATACAGCATCATCATACATCATCATCATACAGCATCATCATTCATCATCATACATCATCATACAGCATCATCATACAGCATCATCATCATACATCATCATACATCATCATCCATCATCATTCATCATACATCATCATACATCATCATACATCATCATCATACATCATCATACATCATCATACATCATACATCATCATCATACATCATCATCATACATCATCATACATCATCATACAGCATCATCATTCATCATCATACATCATCATACAGCATCATACAGCATCATCATACAGCATCATCATACATCATCATACAGCATCATCATACATCATCATACATCATCATACATCATCATCATACAGCATCATCATACAGCATCATCATCATACAGCATCATACAGCAGCAGCATCATCATCATACAGCATCATCATACATCGTCATCATACAGCAGCATCATCATAAGCAACAGGAGCATCATCATCATCATACAGCGGCATCTTCAAAAGCAGCAGGAGCATCATCATCATCAGCATTATCGCAAGCAGCGGCATCATGAGCAGCTCCCCTGCCCCGCGCGTAGCCGGCGCAGGTGTCGCGGGGCGCGGCCAGCTGTGCCGCGGCCTCTGCAGGTGGCGGGCAGCTGCGGACCTCGTCCGTCACTCGCGGATTGCGGCCAGGCCGGAAAGGCGCAGGCGGACGAGGATCTCACAGATGGCCCATCACGAACACCCATCATCATCATCACGAACACCCATCATCACCATCACACGTTCATCATCATCACCATCACACGTTCATCATCATCACCATCACACGTTCATCATCATCACCATCACACGTTTATCATCATCACCATCACACGTTCATCATCATCACCATCACCACGCGTTCATCTTCACCATCACGAACACCCATCATCATCATCACCATCACACGTTCATCATCACCATCACGAACACCCATCATCATCATCATCACACGTTCATCATCACCATCACGAACACCCATCATCATCATCACCATCACACGTTCATCATCACCATCACGAACACTCATCACCATCATCATCATCACACGTTCATCATCACCATCACGAACACCCATCATCATCATCACCATCACACGTTCATCATCACCATCACGAACACCCATCATCATCATCACCATCACACGTTCATCATCACCATCACGAACACCCATCATCATCATCACCACCATCACACGTTCATAATCACGAACACCCATCATCATCACCATCACCACGCGTTCATCTTCACCATCACGAACACGCATCATCAACATGCATTCATCATCACCATCACGCGTTCAGCCACCAAGAAAATATCCGTAATCACCATCACTCACCACCATCACCCGTTCACTCACCACGAATACCCATTACCATTGACAATATCACCTATTCACTTATGAGTACCCATCGCCACAACCATCCGTTCACTCACCACGAACACCTATCGTCACCATCACTCACCACTACGCCCATTCAACTCTAAAGATCGTTAACACTCGCCATCAATTCCATCACCCAGTAACATTCACCCACCACGCACACACAAATACAAAGATCCCCCATGTAGCCTTAGACTGTTGGGGCAAGTGCTGCTAGCGAGCACCTATGAAGGCCGGCACAGCACACGAGGGGGTGGATGGCCAGCACCACGCCCAGCCGCCTTTGTCTCCCCAGTGGCGATGTTTACACACTGCACCAGGTACTCAGTTGAGGCTGAGTCAACCTAGGGGAGGCCCAAGACCGGTTCAGATAATCGTCACCACGCACACACACGCCATCACACCCACCACGCACACACACCATCACACCTACCACGCACACACACCATCACACCCACCACGCACACACACACACCACGCACACACACACACCATGCACACACACACACCATCACACCCACCACGCACACACACACACCACGCACACACACACACCACGCACACACACACACCATGCACACACACACACCATCACACCCACCACGCACACACACACACCACGCACACACACACACCACGCACACACACACCATAACACCCACCACGCACACACACCAGCACACCTACCATCCCACTTCACTCACAATTAGCCATCACCAACATTTACCATCACAATTAATGCCTAACATCTCAGTCACTCTTAAATCAACACATTTGACTCTTCAACCACCAACACTTATCATCAACGTTCACCATCAACAGTGTCACTCACCATTACCACATTGCAGTTTCAACACCCACAACAATAACATCATCACACATCATTATACACAATCACTCACCACACATCATCACTCATACATCACTCATTACACATCTCCATTAGACATCACTCATCACACATTATATCACTCATTAAAGATCATCACGCATCAATATTGGTGAGGAAATGTAACGTGACATTTTATCATTTTCCGCAGCCTCCCGAGTCTCAACACAATGGGGGGGAATTCGCTTTTTATTGAAAAGTAAAATTGTTTTTTTTTCGGCCAAACCTACATAGGTTAGTACAGTAATACCTCGGTTACTTCGTGATCACAAACTTCGTTACCAGAGGTAATAACATGGGAGGCACAATAGTGAAATATTGCTGCACAGTAACCTTTACATTGCTTCCTTTGAAGTGGCCTTTAATTTGGACTTCGTTAGCCTCCTCATGATATGTATTTTCCGCATGCTCTCCGCTTTCCGATCACATTTAAAATCCTGATATGAACAAATATCAGGCCTTGGATGGCACAAGTCATGTTGATCTCTCTGATCTTTTGGAGGGATATGTTCCAGAAGTCTCAGATGGAACACACAGCGCCGTCTCGCTGTTCCTCGGTGTGGATGCGTTCCCTTGAAAGGGCATTGAGTCCATGAGTCCATTGTCCGGCTCCCAGATTGTGGAACCACCACCCCCCCATTGATGTAAGGGACGCGCTGGTAGTCTGTGCACATGTCGACAGTAGCTGAAGACCCATCTCTTCGGTCTGGCGCAAATCCTTATCGGTTGATCTGTCTGTCAGCCTGACGCCACTATTTGATGTTTGGTTTATGGGACCTGTTTACTCGCTCGGGGAGTGGCTTGATAAATATAATCCGTTTTTTTACTGATGTGTATAGCTTTTATTGCGTTGTGTAATTTACATTCTTATTGATGTAATGTTATACAGTGTATGTTTTTTTAAATGTGTCCACCTACGAAGCACTCTGACAATTCTATTGTAAAGGAGGCTATAATACATCAAGTTTTATTGATTGATTTTCGTTTCCAAAGAGACGGATTTTTTGCCCAGTAACGCCACGAGCACACGATGGTCGTTTGCATGAGAGTTCAGAAAGCGAGGATTTCTTCGGATGAAATTATTGTAATGTAAAAATGTTCTCATGTTTCTTTCATGTGCAGCCTATCGAGCCCAGACACAATGGAGGAATTAACTTTTGGCTGAAAAATGAAGTGGACATTTTTGTTGGCCAAAAACGACACCGGTTAGTATGTCGATTTTTTTCGGGTGAATTATTTTTTATCGTGACACGTTCGCATTTTCCTTTCATATACAGCCTACAGAGCCGAGACACAATGAAATAATCCACTTTTTATTGAAATATGAAGTGAAAAAACACCGACCAAAAACGACACAGGTTAGTATGTCGATTTTTTTCGGGTGAATTATTTTTTATCGTCACACGTTCGCACTTTCCTTTCATATACAGCCTACAGAGCCTCGACACAATGAAATAATCCACTTTTTATTGAAATATGAAGTGAAAAAACACCGACCAAAAACGACACAGGTTAGTATGTCGATTTTTTTCGGGTGAATTTTTTTTTATCGTGACACGTTCGCATTTTCCTTTCATATACAGCCTACAGAGCCTCGACACAATGGAGGAATTCACTTTTTATTAAAAAATTCTGGACAACGACACAGGTTAGTTATAGTTTTACGCACTCAACATCTAAGAGCATAAACATACGTTTTTAAGATATATTTTATTCACATTTCTGACACATGGTACAGTCCAACATTAAACACGCTGCGTGGCATGACAGGTGGTGCGCGTGTTTCTTTTACAGACCTCACCGTTGGGATTCTTCAGGGTTGCCTGCACTTTTCTCTAAGTTGACATGTGAGGGTTTGGACAAGAGGAAGAGTTCATGGGGTGGGGTCAGGAGGGAGAGTGTCTAACATGCGGGAGGGCGAGGAGCTGCGGCTTGTCTAATAGGGTTCTTGCTTAAGGAGGTGGACGTGTCCAGGTGACACTGGGCCCCTGGATCCTCGGCGTGGGTTATTCAGGAATGGGTCCCATCTTCTTTTGAAGTCTGCCTCTTTGTATTTGAGTGTGCCTCCCCAGGTTTTCAAGGGGCTGTAGCTGACGTCGGGGAGATGTTCCACGGCACTCGGGATGGGGGGGTTGGAGGCTTTGCACTTGCTCCGCATCCTTTTACGCGCTGCTACGGAGAATGTTTGTAGTAGGGTGTTCTGACATACAGATGCCCTGATGTTTGATGCTTCAAAATAACACTTATATTGACGGGTGATGTTTGTGGCTTTGATTTTGTTGGATGTATTTAGTGGTAGCGGTGTAAAACCGTGGGGCAATCTGGTGAGAGGTCACTGTCAAACGTGGCTCGATTCTGATTTGCAAGACAAGGGCCGTGCAGAAATATAAATCGGATACTTAGAGGAGACAATACAGATGGATTAGCATGTAGCAACTTACAGATCAGACTCCACTGAGAGTCTATGATGCGGTTGGGAGATATTCCATCCCAGTGCCCGAGTTCAAATCAGCCTTATTTCAATACACACCATCACCCAACACTAACATTGTAGACACACGTTCACCCGCTGCCTCCCCACTTTCCTGTCACTGTGCAGGTTTAAAGAGGCGGGTGGTGCCCTCTCGTGGATGAGACCTCTCATGACAGGTCAATTCTGACGTTTTTAATCTTTGCTGCGAGACGTACATTCCGATTTGCCAACCTACTGCTGGATGACGGGCTCCCGCACCTTGTTATTTAACCATACCACCTTACCATGATAATCAGTGTGGTTCGATAGCAGGGAGGGTGGCCTAGGGCCGGTTCGGATATATAATAAAATCACTCTCCACCAATGTAAGCCGTAGCAAGGGAATCGAACTGGGCTACCCAGCCTGATAGAACAGCGCACTCACCACTGCACCACCGCTCTTCCACGCATTTCTGTACACATTGTGAAATGGTATACAAAGGAGCGTAAATATTGAAATGCCTACAACGTAAAACATCCATTAACATCACGATGGTGAGCATGTTATATGGCAGAGGTGGAGAACCTCCAGCCCACAGCCACAAGGCACGCTACCTACAAACAACCAAACTGTGTTGATCAAACACGGCCAGTACCAGTCGCACTAATCGGGGACTAGAGGGGAACATGAGAGCTGTCAAGAAGACCGCGTTTCTCAGTCGTGGCCGTCACTGCAAGGGTGTCTTGCAGTGACATTCGTGGCCGAGGTGTGCGTTGATTGTACACCACAAAGCTATTTGGAAAAAAATTGCTTCTAGAAAGTTTATTTAAATATCTATAAACTGTGAAGCATGTCTGTACACTGTTGTACACAATTAAAACAGGAGTCATTCAATGTTTTGCTCAAATCGGAACTTGTCGTTTTAATGGAACGTTTAAGTGTTAATGCAACCTTTAAAGTGTAAGAGATTACTTTTCAAAGGCGAACTCATGCTCATGGTTCTCCGATGACGGAGTGGCAGGCCAAGGAGAAAACGTACAGGAGAGCATCAACCAAGGGAGATGGAGTGATGAGGTCAGCTCATATGCTATTGCCAATAAACTGCAACTTGAATCACTACCTATGAGATCTTCACTCAAAACTGCTCTCGAGGAGTTGTACACCCCTAGCTGCCACTGCTATTCAGTGGCCTAAAATAAAAGGTTTCGCTCCAGATGATCGCTGCAAAGTATGATCTGTGTTTTGATATAGTGTGCTGATCTTAAAGGTGCATTGAACATTTTTGATACTCCGACTGATGCTCCTGCTGTTGTGGAGTGACTCATGCAGCCAGCTATGGCTGCAAGGTTTGGTGGTGGTACATGTTGTATAATGTCATTTATTGTGAAAATTCGGTCAGTTCCTATGATCAGTAACATTGCTTTTATGGCTTTATTTTGGCGATTTCGAAAACTTTTTTGGTTTGGCCATGTTTGTTTGTTGTATTACAGAGTTAGACTGATGGCCTTAATCTAAGTTGTCTTGTGGTTGTTGTTGTTTGACTTGCATCCCACTGGAATTTTTGCAGTGTTGGTGTACGGTGCTTTTTGTGGAATATTTTGCTGTCTTTTCTTGGATTTTCTGTTTGCACTTAGTCACAGTCACTTGAAGATGTCTTCTTGTTCATGTTTTTGTTTTTTGTTTGTTGCGGTTGCACCCGATTCAAGAGCCGAATGGCTCACAGGGCTATACAAAATACTGAAAACTGAAATGTCGGGATGTTGACGGATTTGTGCATTGCAACACTGACAATGACTTGGGGAAGTCTTCACCCAGCAGTGGATGGCCAATTATGAATGGTTATGAATTTTGGACATTTCCACACCCCCCACATCATGAGCGGCACAGAAGACGCAATGCCACTTGACCGTGGAGGTTTTCTCATCTTTATTCTACTGTTCATTCAACAGTCCAAGCACATTTCTGCGGCAATTAACAAAACCGTGTTCTCTTTAATAAAAACCCCACCAGACAAACGCGACTTCGCAACTCCCCGTACTTTAGCTCCGCAACAAATCGCAGTCCAAACAGAAATTGAAAATAAAGCGTCTTCTGACAAGGGGAGGGCACGGGAGGGACGAGGTGGTGGTAGGGGCGGCCAAGAGATGCAGAACGGGACTGAAATCAACTCTCACCTCCACCGTCATTAACAGAATCTTTCAAAGGTAACACATCAACCATCTCCGACGATCCAGTGTGTGGGTCACATTGTAAGGGGCCATCCATTTAGTACGTGCGCATGGACGGGGTTAACCCAAATGCATACGCTTGCGTATGGGGGGGGTCTACTGGTTATCGAAGCCTCGATAACCAAGTCAGGCTGAAGCCTGACATTGCACGTGTTGACAATTCCTAGATTATATATCACCTGTTCGGCTGGGTTCAGTCGGCATTTGAATCTAGCGGACACCAGACAAACCTTTTAAAGGTACGCGACTTAATTCCTTGATGCAGCCGGTGGTGGACTGTTTGCTTAAGCACGTCAATATTATTAATCCTTGATCGTTTCTGCGTGGATTAAATATCGACCGTTCTATAGGATTCGGTGGGGGTGGGGGTGTGAGTCAAGCGTACGTACGCAGGTGGGGGGGGTGTAAAAAGTACGCGTGCGTACAGGGAGAGGGGGGGGGGAGGGGTCACGCGGACAGATTTTTGCGTACATACTAAATGGATGGCCCCTAAACGGTGTTCTCCAAGTCGGTCGAAATTATTTTATCCGACTGCGTAGGTCGTAGTGCAGCGTTAATGAAGATGGCAGTGAGATCGTGTTGAGCTGTGCTTGCACAATCCCCGCCGAGGTGTCTTGGCGTCTTAAATGTAGGGCACGGAGAGCACATGTAGGACATGAACGGTACGTTCACGCCATACCCGTTACACATTAGGTTTTCAGTATAGCCAATGGCAACGTAAGTGCACTGTAACGTGATTCGAACTGGCTCAACATTGAGATTCGGAAAAAATGGGATGAAACGATAAGCTCTTGACCAGAGTCACGGTGACCTCATTCACTAAACTTTGATGGCCCCTGCCACATACAAAAAAAAACCCACTTCAAGCAGAAAACGTGTATGGGGGAATTTAGATTGTTGCACCCTGCACACAAGCTCCTAAACCTAAGCCTCTATGGCAACCGGAACCTGTTAATAAAACACATAAATAATGACTTGTGGGTGCTGTGGTTATCAACCCTGTGTGAGGATTGCGTCTGGCTGCTGACGAGACAGTGTTTACGGACCAAGGTGACGGCGCGTGGGGGGGGGGGGGGAAGATTCCGCGCCGATGATGCCGCTCACACCACCCGCCGCACTTCGAAGAAGCGCTTCAGGTAGTAGATCTGGCCCAGCGTCATGGCAACCAGGACCAGCGCCTCGAAGAAGGCCCAGAGCACCACACGACTGTTGGTGTTGTCATTCACTGCATGCACACACACGGAGCACACATACACACAGGCACGCGCACACCGCGTCACTCTCGCACGTAAATCATGTGTACGTACAAAGGGATGGCCGGTTCAAATGAAGAGGTGATTCTCGCATCTCGTTTACAGCCCTGAGCCAGAGGTGGAAATTCCACATTCCTATGGCGGAGGTGAGTTTATCCTAAGCACAACCACTTCACTTTCCCACAAAGTAGTACCTATTTTAACTACCCCGTAGGGCTTATGAGCCGAGTCAACTGCCAAACAAGATTTTAACTGCGAGTGGCTCACTCTACCACCGAATCTCTGGCCCGGTGATACATGTATGGCTCTTTAATCAATCCACTGCAGGATTAGGGAGGGAGACACCACGTAGAACATGTGCATTACTTGACCATGAAGTGTCTCGAGTAATTTGTTGGGTCCACGTATCGGGGCGGGGGGGGGCGACCACGGGGCGGCACCATTCCTTTGAGGGTCGCAGTCCACTTCGACCGTCGACCGCCAACTCAAGTGGGCAATGAGTGGAATCGCCACTCTCCAATAAACCAATTCCAAAACATCGATGCAAATGTCCCATGTTTTGGCCACTGACCCCTGAACGTGAGTGTTCATGGCGAGAATGTCGGCGTGTCAGGGCATCCACTCACCCGACCGATGGATCCGCTCGCGGACCTCCATGTACTCCTGCTCATGCTTGACGGCCGTCATGGCCGTGGCGAGTTCGTTAATCATCTCCTCCAACTTGTTTGATGAGCTGCGACACGCACGCACGCAGGCCGTTACACACGCACGCAGGCCGTTACACACGTGGGTCACAAAGCTACGCCCGTCAGCGTGTCTATATAATGGCCACCAACGCAATCCCACAAGCTGAAGATGAAGGTCAAACCAGCCTCTTGTTTTTCAAGCACTAAATACAGCCAACGCACAATTATCTGTGGCCGGATTATCTGGATTGTGGCTTAACCACGCTTGTTAAAAATAAATATATAACTATGGGCACACTGCTTCAAATTATGAGCTGCTCCTCACTCATCGTGGATCAGCAACTCAGTGCCTCGATGACCACAAACATCCACAAGTAAACCACTTCCTCTAAGAAGCACTCAGTGGGGGACGGGGGGGGGCGATAAAACAAAAACAGCGCAAAACAATGCATGTAAAATAGCCTCTAAACACAACTTCGAATTCATCACTCCCATTGAACACTAGTTAAAAATACCTTCGTGTTATATCTTACATTGAATTGTTTTGCATTTTCCTTGTTTATTCTTTATCCGGGACGTCCCTCCACCGTTATATGCCGGATAATCGTGAGTGACGGTGTGAGTGTGTCTATAGGCACTGGCTAACAATGAGCACTATATGATGCCTCAAGTACTGCCGGAAGTGTCACTGCAACAGGGCATTCTTGTAATTCCACGTGTTAGCATGCAATGCATTACTAAAGTTAGCGCTGTGGACATTGTTACGTCCGGTATTAATTGGGAATTTTTTTTTCCAAAGTTATGTTACCTACGAGCAAAACAACACCTCAGGCAGCCTCACCAGTTAGTCTACAAGGCAGCCACTAGAGACTAGAGGCTTGGTCACACAATGAACACTGCCAAGGGGCACACACACACGCGCGCACACCGCCACGGGGAAACACATACCCTCCCACGTATCTCGACCTGGAGACACGGAAAGAGAAAGGTGAAGTAAGAGGAAACATCGAAGGTGACTCCGCAGCAGGAACAGACGAGAGGTGCGAGACGGTGTGAAAACTCAACGGGGGGGGGGGGGGGGGGGCGAGAGCAGGCGTCGGACAAACGGAGAGCGGTGCCGCTAACAGCCCACTGCAGGCCATGACAAGAAAGTACACATTTCGTATGTGTCACATGACCACAAAGATTAAATAATGGATAAGTTATGTAATGTAATACTATCACAGCTGTCGCATGTAATTAAGCTATGAGACTAATTCAAATTACTTTAAATCTTAATGCTGCAGTCTTTAAAGTTCGAGACACTTTTTCACCATTTTAAAGCTAAATTGTGGTTGCGTACTAAATCACGGTAGGTGTGGCCTGATTGCATAACTTTACTGACACCGGTGGCTTATTTTACAGAACGCCTTATAATCTGGAGAATATGGTATTGGACTTTTTTTTTTATAAAGACCCGAGTTGCAGCTGATAATTGCTGCACCCCATTTATTCTTCTCATGCACCTGGGCACCTGCAGCTGCTTGGGCTGCTCAACTTTCGCTTAGTTTGCGTACGCCCAGCACCGCCTCTCACCCTCGGTCTCCATGTCCTGGCCCTTGGGAGTCTCGCCCATGTCGATGGTGAACATGACCATCTTGGGCGTCATGGTGGACATCTTGTTGCCGAAGCAGAACTTGTAGACGCCGTCCATGTGGGCCGCGAAGGTGTACTTGCCGTTGGATTCACGATCCCCACGGTAGATCTCCCGTCCATCGGGCCCTGTGATCTGCACACATCGCATAAAGTCGGGTCATGAATCTTACATTTTTTAAGCGTTACCCATAAATGCAAAAAACACGATGTGATTCTTGCTTTGACTCCAAGACTGAGCGGTGTGGTCAAGTATGGTCAATAAATACGCAGAAACGTCAAGGACGGCACTGTGAGACCCTCAGTCAGCAGAGGCCTGACAAAGGGCTGTAATGGTTCTCATGTTACAAATCATTGAAACTGCTTTTTGTGTTTAGTTTGCAATTCCCCCATACCTTCAATTAGCATGTTTGGCTACGTAGGGTGCGTAAGAAGTTCAGCATACATGGACACATCATGGGGTTTCAATGTTCTTGCACGCCAACCGGTTCAACTATGAATGCAACTATGGGATTCCATTATCAATTCCACCACTTTTGAAATCAATAATTAATCGATGAAATATTTTTTATATTGGCGTAATTCCCCAGAGCATGGAGAGAATCTGCCCTGACTAAACCTTCTTAAGGCACATTGGTACATTTATTTTAATTCTCAAATATATATATATTTTTTACAAAATCACTGCAACCTGCTCTCGTTTGCCTCTTCATTTCATCACTTTAATTCACTTTAATTTCTCACGAAAATTTAATTTAAACCACTGAAATGTATTCACTTCAGGTGATTACAGTTTTTTCTCAGAATTATAGTCTAGCACGGTCATGTAACCCCAGACTTCTAGCCCAAACCCCTATCGTGTGTCTAGTCCAAACCCGACCGCTACCCTCAACTCTATCGCTACACCGACCCTACCCTAATTTCTACTGCCACCCCCCAACCTCATCTACCTCACTCTAACACTCCCGCTATCCCTAACTCTACTCATGAATGAGAAACAACACTACCTCAACCAGCACATATAACCCTACCTCTCTAGCTCTTGGCCCACGTATTGATTTATTGAATACTCCGGGGCTCGAGTTGTCGTAAGATCCGGGAGAAGCTGACTGTGGAGGGTGGGGCTGTCGAGAAGAACTGGAGAGGGCACCCGAATGAGGACGCATGCCAGTCAAGGGGTCTGGGTTTAGAGACCCAGACTGGCAAAGGGACCACCTGGAGACCACAAAGGGCTGTGGCGAGGACTTCAAGGACGCGTCCCTCGCTCCGAGGGGCATGAGGACCCGGAAATAGGACCTAAAAAGGGCCCTCTTTGTATGTCGAACTTCTTTCGCACCGCACGTAGCCAACCGTGCCAATCGGGAGGTGCGGGGGAAGGACAAAAAACTAAATACACACAAAACATTTCTAAAGAAATTAGTTTTCAATCGACAAGGGAGAACTAAAAGGGATCATCTTGACTTGAAGCTTTCGTGACTGCAGGAATTCATATTATTTGGGTATTTCGGTAAAGTCACGTAGATAGGTTCAAATAAAATAACAAAAAACGACGTTTTGTTATTTTCTTTGAACCGATCTACGCGACTTTACCGAATGACCCAAATGATATAAACGGGATCATCTTTGAAGAGGGGAACCTTCGGGGACTGCTACTGCACGAGGGGGGCACGAGGCAGACCCTCGAGAGCAACAGGTGCGGTGAAGGGAGCCGTCGGAAGCCCCGCGTGGTCACTGTGAAACAGGGGGACCCCCAAGCAGGTCCAGGTGATCCGAGGGGATCAAGGGGGACCTATGAACTCGAGAGAGCCCCCTTTGAGTCACCGCGAGGGTTACCATCTCGGAGGTACAAAGAATCCGGACATATGGTAAAGAAAATAGTTAATACCGTTTGCTCAAGTGAGCACTGAGGCGGTGCTCAGCTCTTATTGACAGCCCTGAGCCGGTGGTGGGAATTCCACACTGCTTGACAACCGACGGGACGGTGGAGACGGTGTCAACCCCCCACCAACCCCGACACGGCGGATTTACACTCGCAGCGGTCGGGGGGGCGGGCTGCGAGCGCCTCCTCGCTCCACCGCCACCTGGTGTGGCCGCTCGTGATCCAGCGAGTGAGGCGGCAGCGAGAAGCACCCACTAAAGCCTCCACTTCGACGCTTCCATTTGCTGGGGGCTTTCTCGGGACCCGCCGCCTCACCGCGGGGACGAAGCGGCTCCCCCAACCGGGGCGGGCAGCGAGACCCCTGTGGGGGGGGGGGTCCCCTGTGGGGTGGGGGGGGCCCCTGTGGGGGGGGGGGGTCCCCTGTGGGGGGGGGGGGGTCCCCTGTGGGGGGGGTCCCCTGTGGGGGGGGGGGGGCCCTGTGGGGGGGGGGGGGGGGGCCCTGTGGGGGGGGGGGGTCCCTGTGGGGTCCCCTGTGGGGGGGGGTCCCTGTGGGGGGGGGAGTCCCCTGTGGGTGGTGGTGTCCCCTGTGGGGGGGGCGGGTCCCCTGTGGGGGGGGGGGGGGGGGTCCCTGTGGGGGGGGGGGTCCCCTGTGGGGGGGGGGTCCCCCCGGCTCCGCCGCGGCCTGGGAGGTGACGTGTCCGTCGCGCCCGCCGCCGACGCCGCTCACCTCCACGTCGATGTCCAGGAAGCCGCCCTCGGCCACCTCGAAGATGAGCCCCATCTTCGTGCCGGACGTGACCTTCTCGAAGAAGCACTCCTCGGCGTGCGCGTCCACGCTGATGAAGAAGGCGAGGCCCGAGCGCGGCGCGGCGCCCAGCAGCAGCAGCGCGAGCAGCGCGAGCAGCGACAGCGGCCTGGGCACGAGCGGCGCCATTGCTCCTCTGCAGCAGCCAGGCCCGGGGACGGCGCGCTCCCATTGGCCCGCGCGTCCGGGCGGTGCGGGCCAATCGGCGACGAGCACGCCCGCTGTTGACACGCGACTGGGCGGCTCTGGGGGGGGGGAGGCGAGCTGGCTCCGAGTCGGCCATGTTTCGTCAGGAAGGGGAGAAGGGTGAAAAGGCGGCGTTTGTTCCCCCGACCCCAGATAGGCTTCGTTTTTGGGTGAGCAGAGGCGTCGGAGCGATCGCGTCGTCCTTACCGGCGGTCACTGTCGGTCAAGCTGAGGAGAAGGGGGAAAAGAGATACACCCGGAAGTGTTTCGTTGTCGGTCATGTTGGGTGAGTAAAGTCGCGTGAGGGGTTCGGTCGGCCATATTGGATGGGGGAAGAGACGGCGACGTTACGCGCGCGCCGCCATTGCACGCGCGTCATCCCTGAGCAAGATGGCCGCCCGTTAGCAGCGGCTGCTTCGGGTTCCGCATTGAAGTTGTCCACGCGCCCACGTCACGCCGATTCGCGACTTTTTAACGGTGACGATTCGTGACAAACCCCAGTGTACTGTATGTATGGTTGAACTTCTTTCGCACCGTACGTAGCCAACCGTTGCTAATCGGAGGCGCTTACCGCACTTAATGACGGGGCCAGTCTAGAAAACACCCCCATTGACTTCCCACAACTCGCTTTGCTGACCCAGGAAATACATTTACTACGACAGCGACATTCATTACCACATAAACACAATGTACTCATCTTATTGGTTCTTTCTACGTGACTTTACCGAACGAACCAAGAAGATGAATCCCTGCAGTCACGAAAGCTTTAAATCAAAATGTACTCCATAAACTTTAATCCAGCAGTGTATTGATCACAGCCGATCTATTTAATATATTTAATTTGAGCGATTTGCTTCGCTTCCTTATCCTGTATTGTATTGTTTGTTATTGTAATTCACTGACCCGCCCCTATTGGACGAACTGATATAAAGAGCTTCGTAGCGCATCGGATTTGCCCTGCGGTCTAACCCAAGAGTCTGCTGCTGGCGTGGCCGCGCGAATCTGCGGACGCCAATGCGCGAATAGCGACGCGCAGCGCAGAGCTAGACGCACGTGCGCAGCCGCTCGCTCCTCTTGCCTCCGGGTCACTCATCGTCCCCTTGGGCCCCCCGAGTCCCGGGGTCTCCTCCCTGCTCTTCCCGTGCACCACACCGGACCCCTGGGAGCCATGGCGAGGAGGAGAGCGATCGGCCTGGCGTGCGGCCTGGCCGCGTCTGCCGCGGCGGTGCTCGTGCACAGGTCCACCCTCGACCACCCGCCCAGCATCAACGTGGACGCGCCGCCCGTCAAGTCCCCCGCGGTGTCGACTTTGGCCTCTTGGGACCACAATTGGGACCGGTAAACGCCGCGCTGGGCCCCTTGGACGGCCAAGCCAACACTGCCTCACCTCGATTTGACCCCATCTCACTTGAACCCTTATCCGACCCGGCCGCTATGCCCCCAGGTCGCCCTCGCTTGTACTGTCGGTCGGTCCACTGCTGGATCAGTCCCCACCCTCCCCACCACGCCGTGGGGCTCGTGTAGGTTTAGTTGACCATTCCTCACCACGCTGGTCAGTGCGTGTCTGTGAAGGCTGGTGGGCATAGGCGCTGGCCCACCCGGCGTCCGTCCGGCAGGCGCCTTCCCAGATTGGACGCGTTCAGGGGGTTCGGTCGCCGCTCTATCAGCGGGGAACAGCAGCCCCCCCCCCCCTTGCGTTGGCCCGTGTATGGGGCCGCTAGCTGCTGCTGTTGCTGCGTTTCGGCGATCGAAGTTAAACCACAGGCCTCTAAATGAAATGCCATCATCGTCAGTCATCACCAATCCACTGCTGGACGAAGCCCCCCCCCCGTTGGGCTGCCGCTCGTGCGCCGCTGGGGGTCGCGGAGGACGCGGCCCCGTGGGGGCGCGAGGCGGCGCGCCGAGCAGGAAGCCGGTTTCCATGGTGACGTGAATGAGTCACGGGCGGTGGGTCGGGGGGGGGGCTTGAAGAAAGTTCCCGAAGTGGGGAGAGGCCAAGCGGCAGGAATGGGGGGGGAAGCGGCAGGAATGGGGGGGGGCTGCAGGAATGGGGGGGGAAGCTGCAGGAATGGGGGGGGGGGCTGCAGGAATGGGGGGGGGAAGCTGCAGGAATGGGGGGGGGGGCTGCAGGAATGGGGGGGGGGCAAGCGCAGGAATGGGGGGGGGGGGGGCAAGCGGGAGGAATGGGGGGGGGGGGTACAGGGAAATGAAGCTCTATGATCCCACGGGATGCGGACTGAGTCCACCGCCTGCCATTGGGCACAGAGCGGGCGGGCAGAGCGGGATGAAATGTGTGGACTCGGGGTCACCATTAACACCGCCCCCCCCCAGCATCACAACACGTTCATTTTGGAATTGAACCTCATGGCGGGACCCCGGGGTCCCATCAGCCCCCGACTCTCACATGAACTGCGTTGCGACGTCATTTTATGTCTGTTGAAGGCGAACGACACGGTCATCTGTTCCTTTCGACGAGCTCGACACGATGCGCTAATCAAAGTTTCACAGTTTTGTTTCTGACTACGGCATTCGTCCTCGCCGCTGCACTTGGACACAACACGGCAACGGATCGATCCGCGCCAGGCGGGTCGCAGCGTTTGTGTGCGCGGTGGGACGGAGTCGCCACAAATAAACTACGATTTTGACTTCCGTTTATTCGGGACCCCAGGGTCCTGCCATGAGGCTCAATTGGCCAAAGCTCCCAATGCAGGAACCCTCCCGAACTGCAGTTTTGAGGCTCTGGCTTAAACATGTACAAAGGACATACTGGAGTGAAGTATGGTCAAGCAACGCCCCCCCCCCCTTCCCGTTTTCAGTTGTTATTTGGCTGCTGTTAATTATACAGCTAGGACCTGCAAATGGCAATGGTTTGTGTGAGATGGAGCGATGGAATCGGCGCATGTGCTGCGGCCAGACGGGTTGCTGTGGGCAGGACCGTGAGCGATGGCGGCGACTTGAGCCCTTCATCCAGCGGTGGATTGATCACGGCCGATGATTAAGTCCGCGATGGGTTTGGACCCCGACACGGTGAGACCTGCTCACTCAAACGCCGCCCCCTCCCCCCTCCCGTTTTAGGCGCCAATCCACGTTCCTGGCGGCGAAGGCCAAGGTGAAGGAGAGCAGCGTGAATGGTGTTCAGGAGCCGGTGCAACACGAGAAGGAGAAGCAGAGGGGCCATGGCGCCACGCGCCACATTCTCCTCGTGCGCCACTCGCAGTACAACCTCGCCGGGCCCACCGACGAGCAGCGCTTCCTCACCGACACCGGTGAGCTGCCGGGGTCGGGGGTCGGGGGTCAACGGTCGGTGTCGAGGTCGTGGTAGAGGCAGGATTAGAGATGGGGTTTGTAGGTTAGGGATTTGTGGATGGAATTGGGGTTAGGAGATGCAGGTTGCGTTAGAGGAGGGGTCGGCAACCTGGGGCTCTTTAAGGACTGCTTCGTGACGCTGAATGTTAAGGACCGTCTCTTAAATGCACATGCATTGCGGCTCTGGATAGAGTTGGGGGTTGAGTTAGAGTTGGGGGTTGAGTTATGGGGGCAGGTATGGTTTTAGAGGTAGGGTTAGTGGTAGAGGTAGGGTTAGTGGTAGAGGTAGGGTTAGTGATAGGGTTAGGGTAGAGGTGAGGCAGCACAATAATCTCCGAGTTGGATGTCAAAAGGCACATGCTCGCTAACAGCACTTGCCCCAACAGTTTGTGAAGGCTATACCAGGGGCATCTTTGTCTTGGTTGTGGCGAGCAGGGCGTGAGCAGGCCGAGCTGACGGGGCAGCGGCTTGCCAGCCTGGGCTTCCCCTACACCCGCATGGTGCACTCCAGCATGAGACGCGCCACCGAGACGGCGCAGATCATCAGCACGCACCTGCCCGGTGAGCCGCCGTGGCGCCGTGTGACGCCGCGCACCCCCCCCCCCCCCCCCGTGTGCTAGCCGTGGAATCCCACGTCAGCATTTGGGTTCGCACGGACCCAACGTGTAGCACATTTTACATATACAGTACATCGCATATTTGACCATCGTAAAGCCACTCGGATCAATTAGCCGGCCACATCCACTCTTTAGAACATGCAAACCGAACACTTGATGCAATTGCGTGTGTGCAAATTGTTCACCTCCTGCTGTAAAGACTGTGCTCGCAATAAAATGTGAATGATAAATGTATATAAATCAACAGTCCAAGTAAACAGAACCCCCCCCCCCCAACCACGAGGGAGATTTTCCTCATTGATGTTGTGCTAAGTGCACCGTCTTCGTGCTGTCGTCCCTGTCGACTATTCGTCGCGTGGGGTCTGCTTGTTGTTTGGTAATGAGCTCCTGGTACAAAGCATCCCCACATTTCCCCTCTAATTGAAGTGAATCTCTCACGCCTGCTAAGTAACAGGCAGCACGGCAGATGGTTGGGGCTTGTACCAGCGACCTTTGCTCCCCCCCCCCCCAATGTCCCTGAGCCAGCTGTGTTGTGTGTCAACAGACGTGGCCCTGAGCAGTAGCGACCTGCTCAGGGAGGGCATGCCCATCCCGCCCGAGCCCCCCATGCGCCCCAAGCCCGACTTCCAGGTGAGCCCTCGCCAGTCCTGGACGGGACGAGCCGGCAGCTGACTTCCTCGTCTTCTTGTTTTGCACGCGGTTTGAAAAGCAACGGATCGAGTTGTTTTCGATGTTTTGGCCACGGCTCACGATGATGCCGCCGAGTTTCGAGAAGCCAGTTGATGGCGCCTATCATCGCCAGACAGATTCCATTTATACCTCCTACACAAGCACGCGTTGGCAAGGCTCCAAACTAAATGGGGCCCCTGTGTAGAGGGGGGATGGGAGGCCCTAGTGAAGGCCACAGACACAGAAGGACACAGTGACGGAGATAGAACAAGAGCCGAGGAGAGTGACAGACACTGAGAGGAATGCAAAGAGAAACCGGGAAAGAAATGTAGATACACGGACAGAAACGTGTCGAGACAGACGTGGAGAGTAACGGGGAGAATCCTGGTGGCCTCTTTGAAGAGGAGGCCGAGTGGCCGCGCCTCCCCGACCATACTCACCTCCAGCACTGCTCCTCCGTTCTCGTTTCGGGCGTTTGGATTCATTCTCCAGATGCTGCCTAGCAGTGTGGTCACTCTGGTTGCAACGACTCAGAGCTAATTCTCGAACAGGAACTGATGATCACCAATGTTTTTAAAGTATATGCAACTTACCTTTAGGCAAATGGAGTGGATGAGACGTATAACACAGACAAGACGACGGTAGAAATGACACCAAAGACAATTTTTCAACACTTGCATCAAACGGCAATAATTCACCATTGGAACCTCCTTTGCCAGTAGCAAAATATGATAATTTTTTTTTACCCTAAACCAATGATCATATTTTGCTATTGGCAAATGAGGTTCCAATAGTGTAAATGCTTACCCCGAGTTCTCATACTCTGATGGTGCATTGTCTTTGAGTTGTGCGCCTTTTGGCGTCATCTGGTCCAACACCATGTGAGACTCGGCTCTAAGAAAAGCTGTCTCGGGTGTGGACCAATCAATTTCAAGGACAGTGCATACATTATCAGAGTTGTGTTTTTTGTTTGCATTCCGACCGCAGGTATTGTGGTCAATGCAAACATGACTCCTTGTAAAAAAAGGTGTCAGTTTTGTTGCCAGATAAAACGGTAACAATTCACCCACGAGTAGTGTGCGGAGGAGGCGATGGGCAACGTGGTCGCGTGTCTCCGCAGTACTTCACGGACGGGGCGCGGATCGAGGCGGCGTTTCGCCAGTTCATCCACAGAGCAGAGCCCGAGCAGCAGGCGGATTCGTACGAGATCATCGTGTGCCACGCCAACGTCATCCGCTACTTCGTCTGCAGGTGAGCGAGCGCGACGGGGCAGCCTTGCCGTGACAACGCCTACAGACGCGTTTCTGGCCACCTCTCGTTAATGTGCGGCGCTTTTTGTCAATCAGCTTGTGGAGGGGGGGGGGGGGGTCCTACCCGCTCCGTGCGGGTCCTGGGAGTCATTCCACGTTGGGCTGTGCGGAAAAGGCACGGGAATGGACCTGTGCCATCGTGCTTGGATAATAGCATTGATATAGATTAATTCCACAATCTAAACATAAAGCAAGGCTGGCCATGGCATGTGATGTATGTTGAACCGTATGTAGCCAACCGTGCCAATCGGAGGTGCGGGGGAAGGACAAAATGTACCAACTGTGTCCGTTGGATGTGGCGAGATCCACGCTGACTGGTGGTGTTGTGGAGGCGGTGTCGTGGAGGCGGTGTCGTGGAGGCGGTGTCGTGGAGGCGGTGTCGTGGAGGCGGTGTCGTGGAGGCGGTGAGAGTCATGCTGGCGGTGGTGTTGTGTGCCGGTGAGTGCAGGGCGCTGCAGTTCCCGCCCGAGGGCTGGCTCCGGATGTCGCTCGACAACGGCAGCATCACTTGGCTGGCTGTGCGGCCCAGCGGCCGGGTCGGACTCCGGTCGCTCGGGGACTCGGGCTTCATACCGGCCACCAAGCTGACACACTGACAGCGACCCACAAGCCGGCTCGCCAACGGTGGCCGATGAGTCGGTTATCCTGCCCGCCGCGGCACCACGCTCTCTCCCGGTTCTGGAGGTCTTGATTTTGTTTTTTAGGGGTGTCACTCACCGGACGCTCGTCTCGAGTCTGTGCACGTGTCCAATAAAATCGTTTTGTATTGTCCACACAAACGAGGTTCTGGGCGTGTAAATAGAAAAGACTGGGAAGCACCTGGAGAAATTGGTCGTGCGAGGAACTGCGGGAGGAAAATGAGCTCAAGGTTGCTGTAAGATGAGATGGTGGGTGGACTGCGATGAAGAAGGTCATTGCCCAAAACGTCGCCTATTCTGTTTTGTTTCTAAGGCCACAGTGTTAATGAGGAACGTGTTGAGTTTTGTTGTGTTCGTGCACCGCTGCTGTTGCAGTGTCATCAAATTATTAGGGGAAAAAACGGAAACTTTGGAGGAAAACCTGCCAGAGGCATCACGGAGACTGAATCCCTCGCTGGGACACGCCGGGTCGGCAGGCATGAGATTGGCACACGCGCTGGGGATTAATACGGACTTGCGTTTATTCTCTAGATTAAGAAGCAATTCAACCACAGTAGGAGACAAGGGATACGGTTTTAATACGAATTATAAAATTGCGTTGTTTAGCGCACGGGGTTAAAATGCACCAGTAGTCACACGGAGGATCTAAACCAGCTACGCGTTCACTGCACAATACGTCTGACAGGAGACTGCTGCACCGGCGTACGGCCACCACAGAGGTTCACATCTGCAGTTTAATTACAAGCGCTCTATGCCCGTTGTACACGAAGCATGTGTAGTCTCTCTCTCGATACCAGATAATAAAATGATTAAAAATTCACAATGATTCGCCACGTGAGAGCAGGCCCCCCCCCCCGTCCCCACCCCGAGCAGAACCCAGCCTGGCACGGCCTCTGAGAAGCACCCTCGCCAGAGTTTACGTAAAAAAAACTTAAGCCCAACCACCAACAGAAGAGGAGCGTGCGCGTCTACACACGCAAAGCCACGATGAACACAACACTGCAATAACCGGAGCCCCTCCTGGGGTTACACCAAGCTGTCCACAGAGGTGCACCTCAACCCACCCACGTTCAAGTTACATTGCACGTGATCCATCGCCAAGGCAGCAGGGGGCACCTGGCCAGGCCCCGATAGCCAAATGGGCTGTGTCCTTGCGTCTGGTGGGATCCACCACAGCGCATATTACCGTGGCAATAGGGAGGTGTGCCCAGTGCAGAGATTAAACCCCAGCACCACAGTCTGGCCCCTCCCCCCGCCCCCCCCCCCAAGCTGCTCGAGAATGTGGTGGTTTCTGCAGGTTTCCTGGCTGCACTCATGACATCTGCTGCCGGTTGGCAACGTTCCCATGTAGGAATAACTTATAAAACTGCATCGAGTAAGGACTGGAAAACAACAAATGCTACTGTAAGCACTTTCCAAACGTGACTGTCCAGCCACGTTTTAGATATCTAATGACCGACCACGCACAACTCAACAAGGCTACATGTAAAAAAAATATCACTCGACATGATGTCACTTTTGACAATTGGTCCGTAAGTGCGGGTCGACAGCGAGACTTGTGAGAGAAATGAAACGGAGTAAAACGCTGACTCGGGAAGCGCTGCTGGCGTGCAGGCCGAGCGGCTGGGGTCGGGGTCGGGGTGAGCGATGCCAGCAGCTCACGAGCCGCTGGCGGCGGCTTGCGGGTGGCGCTGGCACGGCCTACTCGTCCGCAGCCGCCGTGGTGCCACGCACGTTCCCCTTCTCGCGTAACTACACACGTACAAGCAAATTCATGTCAACGTGCGTCAACGCACAAGCGGTCAAACGTTCGCTGCCGCCAGACCTCTGTTTTCCAGGTACGAATAGAGCGGCAGCTGTAACTCAAAGCCGAAGATCTGAATCCAACTTGCTGGCTTTGAAAGATAACGGCCAGCCCATCACGCGAGGCGGCAAGTTAATTTCCACCGCCATAAACGCACGCACGCGGCGTTCGCCAAGACTGCACCCTGCAGCCTGACCCTGTGGCCATTTCCTGTCTGGCTCCGCCACCTTTGCCGAGAAAGCATTTTCAGTCTTGGTTGTTGGTAACCGCGACCTCGTGACTCCGTGCCCTCACAGCCCCACTCACCTCGTCCAGCTCCCGCTTGGTTTCCTCCTCCATGCGCCGAATGTCCTCCATGGTGAGGCCAACCCAGCGGTCGATCCAGCAGAAGAGCTGCCGGTGGAAGTTAGTGAAGATGCGCCGCTCTTGCTGCGGGGTCAGGGTGCGGGGAAAGAGCGACGCAGCTTGAGTGGACACGCACGCACGTGTGTACGAGTGCTCGCCATACCGGGGGATCTTTGTTTTTCTTCGTACACATGGCTCAAGCCCCAAGATCCTTGACTCCAGCACATCTCCCTTGACAAAGAGCCGTGCAGCAAAAAAAATTGTACTTAGATGCTCCCCACCTTCACCAACCCTAACACAGTGTGGGGAGGCCCTCATTTAGCAGTGGATTAACAACGGCTGTGCGTGCAAATGGTATCTAATACAGAGCTTGGGTGCATAAAACAGTCAAATTGATTTCCTGCTCAATTGAGTATTAATGTGGTGCTCATGTTTTGTTTACAGTCTCGAACACAGTTGTGGACATTCTACATTCCTATGGCGGGGGCGAGTGCATCCATAGGGAAACCGCTTGATTTCCCCACAAGTGGTATATATTTTATCGACCCTGGAAGGATGATGGACTGGGCACATACCTACAAGGTTTTTTTTGGCGCATTTGCCTTTAACGGTGCAGACTGGTGGCAAGGGCAGACGCACCTTCTGGATGAAGCTCTCCATCTTAGTCTGCAGCCCCCACCACTTGAACTTGACCGTGACCAGCTTGTAGGCGCACATGTGCGGGCAGTCCTCGCGGTTCTCCAGCTCTGCCTGGCATCCAGAAGCACGCAGACATACCGCCGACAGGGACGGTGAGCGCAAGCGCGCTGCATCGTCGCTCACCGGCAGTCGGCCACCTCCTCGCCACTCTTCGATTGCTACTACCGTGCATTGCCACGAACGACACTCGACGATGATGCCAAGCGTGTTGAGGGCTCGGTCTACCAGACTAACCGCTTCATCTCACCTGCACTGTGTCCAACCACCACCACCACACTGCAGGACACAACATTTCTCTCTGTGCTTCTTCCCTTGCACTACTCCACTCTGGAATTCCCTCCCATTGTCGTCTCTCTTTCACCAATCTTTATAACCTTTCTAAATCCAAGAAGATACGCGTCCAATCTTATCTCTTACACCTTCACGAGTACCGTTTTGTCGCTGGCCAATTGGCGTTTTGGTTCTGTGCTCGGCAATTGGCGTCACGCTAAGCGTACACTCTTAACAAGACAAAACATTTAACTTGAAAGGGAATAAATAAGGCGCTACACAACGAGCACGCGATCTGAGCAAGAATATCGCACCTTCCAGTTAGGACCCAGAGGTCCTCTGCTGGTCTTTGTGGACTTGAACAATGCAGGGTCCTCCTCTGTCTTGTAATCCTGAACAGCGCACACACGCACAATGTCACATTCACACAGCTCTAGACAAAATTAATATAAGCGACAACGTTGCTAAAACCGGCTCTCGCCCGGTGATAAGGTTCACGATGATTCACTCAAGCAGACAAAAACACACCCAGACCCACTGTAGGTGTTTTTTAAAAATGTTCAAGTGGTGGACTTTTGACTCTTGACGCTACCACACACGGCTTCACCGTAGACATCGTTCATGCAGGATACCGAACAATTTGCAAGAGAAGGTACGCTTACATTCCTCACAACTGGCATACGCACTGCAAAACAAAGGAGCGGTCACTCCGGAGATTACGTTCACCGCAGAGATGGAGCGATGGAATCAGCTTGAGTGAAGCTGTTAGATGGATTGCTGACATTTGGAATTGGTGCGATCATTCTCATAGCACGGGGCGATGATTGCTCAGAAAAGTGCAGTGATTCACAGACGCAGTCTGCAGTAGTTTCATAGTCGGGGGCGATGTTGCTGTGTGTGAACCCATATGAGTAATTTAAGTAATTTTCTTACTTGACAACGATAAACAATGACGCTGGCACACAATGGCCCACTCTGTTCGAATGAAGTTGGGGGAAGTTTAACGTCTGCCGTGAAGCAGAGAGCGCACATTTAACGGTCAATATACGCCTCTAGCAATAACCAGATGGCTTGGGGTGTGCCCTGCACTCAGCGGTGGATTGACCATGGCTGGCTGGTGTTGGTGTTGGAGGTGGATTGACCATGGCTGGCTGGTGTTGGTGTTGGAGGTGGATTGACCATGGCTGGCTGGTGTTGGTGTTGGAGGTGGATTGACCATGGCTGGCTGGTGTTGGTGTTGGAGGTGGATTGACCATGGCTGGCTGGTGTTGGTGTTGGAGGTGGATTGACCATGGCTGGCTGGTGTTGGTGTTGGAGGTGGATTGACCATGGCTGGCTGGTGTTGGTGTTGGAGGTGGATTGACCATGGCTGGCTGATGTTGGTGTTGGAGGTGGATTGACCATGGCTGGCTGATGTTGGTGTTGGAGGTGGATTGACCATGGCTGGCTGGTGTTGGTGTTGGAGGTGGATTGACCATGGCTGGCTGATGTTGGTGTTGGAGGTGGATTGACCATGGCTGGCTGGTGTTGGTGTTGGAGGTGGATTGACCATGGCTGGCTGATGTTGGTGTTGGAGGTGGATTGACCATGGCTGGCTGATGTTGATGTTGGAGGTGGATTGACCATGGCTGGCTGGTGTTGGTGTTGGAGGTGGATTGACCATGGCTGGCTGATGTTGGTGTTGGAGGTGGGAGGGCTGTGCCGGACTCACCGAGGACAGCACCTGGTTCCGGTCGCCGATGTCGATGTGCATCACCTCCACCTGCTTCCAGGTCGGTTCGTCCAGCCCGTGCACCTGGACGCACCAGGCCGGGTGCACACACGAGAGGGTACGCGCGCACGTTTACGCGCCGATCCGCGGTCACCGGTCCCCGACCGCGGTGCACACGGTGATGCCGTCACCCGCTCCGATCGCTCGCCCACAGCGTTTCGGATATTCACCGTGGGGCTATTCCAGAAGGGGTCCGCTGGCTCGCTCACCAAGCTCAGCGTGAACACTCAATCACCATCAGCTAACTCTGTGTGCCGAACAAAACGAGCCGGGAAGCCAACACTGCGCTATTGTGCTTTACACCGGCCTGCGTTGCCGTCAATAACGACATCACAAGTCAAGTAAAAATACGTGATTACAAGTAGTCTGTGACTCGACATTGTGCGAGACTCAGAAGTGTCCTGGAAATGTCGTGACAACACATGCACACACAGAGTATAAACCCGCGCTGGCTTCTTTGGCCATTGAGAGTTATTTGTATTACCCGCCCCTCCATCCCATTCTGCCCCCAACAGATGGTCGCATAATGAACTTAATAATTCCATTCACTTGATCTGCCTGCTCTCAACAAAGCCCTACCACTGTCTGGCCAATGTGGATCATGTGGATTATCAAG